CTTGGATGAGAAGCGAAACGTCTTCAAAGAAAAACGACCAAGTCCAGTTGTCTCTTGAAAAAGCAGCTTTGGGACAACCATGACCTGGATGACTGAGAATCTCCATAGACAGCTCTCCTTTATATTCCTTCAAATCAGAGTGAGATGCTACTAAGTCGGTGCCTCTTGCACAGGTTAGAAAACAATGTGCGAAAAATATATGAAGTGCATTTTCATCTTTCATGAAAGAAAGCATTGGTGTGAAATTATTGCAGAGATCGATTCAAGGAAACTTCCTAGGCAACCTTAATAAAATGTGTGAGTCTTAAAATAATAAAACTGCCCCATTGCATCCTGGTTCAGATTTCACTTTGAGAATAAGAAGCAGGTTGTACTTGCTCCGTGGTGGGACAAATTGTTCACAACAACCCAGTGGAAGGCTAAGATCAAGAAGGAGCTAAGGAGACTCATTCCTTGTCTCTTTATTTTCATTTTTGTGTATGGGAGGTACAGAAGCATTTTTTCCTTAAAGAGATTGTAAGGGCACGTGAACCTATTCAAAACCATAACTTAAATAAATGACAAGAATCAAATGTTGCATAGAGTTATCATAATGACTTGGCTGATATATTGTAAAAGCCACACATGAACAATCTCATTAGAGGTAAAAATGCCTATAGAAGAATTCCACACTGAAGAGGGATTTGAAATTTTCTTCCAAATCTGTATATATTCTTAATAATCTCTTACTAGTTATAATAGTGTACCATCTATTCGTTTGGTGCAGCTTCCTCAGTTATTGTACAAAAGTGGTTGCAAAGCTGTGGCAATTAAATCCATAACTGCTGCCTACCTTCTAATAGAAGACAAAAAAATGGTTTGACTGATTAGAGCCCTATCTTTGGACTGCAAAAATCCAGATAAGCACTAGTGGCCAGAAAGAGTTTTCTCAATCTTTTAATGCCCAGATTTTAGTACTGCATAGATTAGTCATTAAATGGAAGTTGTGTAGAAGAAGCCCAGAAATATAGGCTAGAATGGGAGCTTTAAAAAAAAAACTTAAAAGGTAATAGTAAACCACTAGTATATTGTGCAAGATTGGACATTTGAAACTTTTATTTTTTTTAACTAAATTCATTATGAAAGAATGCCTAGAACAAACAATCCGATTCCATGTTACAGCAATCACCTTTTTGTGTCCCTTGACTGAAGACCCACTAATGGGGTTTACTTCCCAATAAGATGTGGTGTTCATCCTACATATGTGCTAAAGATACTTAAGATCACACTATATATTATTTCCTGGTTTTCACAATGTTCATCTCAATATAAGTTTGAAGATAGATTTAAAGCATGATTCAGTTTCTAGTTCATTCCTGTGGGTTGTTTTATCAGCTAAAACAAACAACAATGAAAAGTTTTTACTGACTTCAATGAATAATTCTTGGGACATGAAGAATTCACTAGACATCTCTTCCCTTATCGCTTACCTAATCTTTCTTTAAACAGAGTTGCAGGCAAACAAATGTGCCACCCCTGGGCTATAGAAAAAACTATGGAGCACAATGGTGAATCCTTTTGGACAGGAATGGATAATACTGTTGCAGAAAATGACAGGCTTTAGACTTCTCAGGATACAGGAAAGGTTTATTTGCAACCAGGGTCAGAAAGCTAGCCCATGGCTAGCATTGCAAATTATGACCAACCTTCATTATCGAAGCACGCGTTCTTATATATTCTTAAAAGCGTTGCAACAAGGAAATACTTAACTCATTTCTTATTGGTTATTTTGGGGGGAAAGCCTTATAAGTAGATGAGGGTCTTCTCTTTTTGTTATAGGTATGGACTATGTGTCACTAATGAACTTTATCTGAAACTTATGGTTTGGACTTTTGACATAGGGACGTTGGCTAGAACATCTTGTGGTTAGAGGCTGACGACATTTCTTTTAAGCAAGCTTCTAACTATCCTTTTTAT